ACCAAACACACAATACACACCTCTCTCCCGCTTATGTTTGTGCACGGCCATCAGATCACGGAGAAGTGGAGCGGGCCCAACGAGCACGACCGAGCCATCTCCCTCAGCTCCGTCGCGCAAGCGCCCAACGGGAACATTGTCATCGGCAGCTACGACGGCAAAGTTCGCACGTTCTCCTGTGAGTTTCCGCGTGCAACAGCCCATGCACGTGTCATGATGTGCAGGCAAACACAACATTCAACACACAACACACAACATACAACACACAACACACACATACATACACGCAACACACACAACACAACACAACACAACGCACACACAGCACACACAGCACACAACACACACAAAACACACACACACACAATAACACACACACACACACACACACACACACACGGCCCCTCACCCATTCTTTCCTCTTGTGCCGCCATTTGCCAGCCGACTTCAAGTCGATGGTGCTGAAGGAGAGCCCGAAGAGCGACAAGCACGTGACGTGCGTGATTCCCCTCGCCAATGGCACAATTGTTGCTGGCGACTACGCCGGCACCATTCGCTGGATCGACGGCAAATCAGGCAAACTCCTCAAGAAGAAGGTGCGCAGGCGGGAACGACGAAGAAGCAAGAGGGGGGGGGGGGAGGCTGACGGGTTTGTGCGTTCACTTGTGTGCGTTCATGTGCGTGTGTCTGCAGATGTGTCTGCACGTGTGTGATTGCATGCACGAGCATGCATGTTGGTTGATCTGCTCTCTCAAACAACATCCGGTTTCACGTTGCATGTCCTCACGTTACACCGGTACCGTTTGATAGGAGCTGAAAGTGGAAGCAGAGCTGTTTGGATGCAGCAAGCCCGGCTCAAACGAGTTTGTGATTGTGCACGGTGCCAATGCCATTCGCTTCGACAACCAGAAGGAGGCAAGCCACACACGCTGCCCTGCTCTGTGCCGTGCTGTGCTATCTGTTGCATGCTTCGTGTTGTGCGTCGTGAACTTGAATGGTAGTATGTGGATTCAGTGTTGTGTGTGTGTTGTGTGTGTTGTGTGTGCGCTGTTGTCATTGCTGTCATCGTTGGAATCGCCTCTTGTTGCCTGTGCTTGCGTCTCGTCCACACAAGCGTCAAGATCTGCTGTTGCCTCGACCTCGACTCAAAATGCAGCCAACGCTTACATCCCAACCCTCACCCTCCCCCCTCCAAAAAATGGCACCACATTCTTGCGCATGTTTCATGGACGGCCACGACAGGTTGCGAAGAAGACGTATCCTGGCGATTACATCCAGATCAAGGCGCCCTACCTCAAACCAAACATGAAGCAGCTCGTCATGATCCAGGGATTCAAGGTGCCTCCTCATGCTTTGTGTGTGTGTGTGTGTGTGTGTGTGTGTGTGTGTGTGTGTGTGTGTGTGTGTGTGTGTGTGTGTGTGTGTGTGTGAGTGAGTGAGTGAGTGAGTGAGTGTACACTCGGGTTTGTATTGCTTGTGTAAACGCGCACTTGCTTTTGTGCGTTGTGTTGTGTGCATGCGCATGACCTGTGTGTATTGCGTGCGGCTGTTGCATTCATCATCACCCCTTCCTCCGGGCGTTTTATTTTGGGTTTCTAGGTCGGCATGTACGATTGGAAGACGCTCGACGAGATCTCAACCGTCGCCGTCAGCCAGTCGTCGTACCATCAGCACGGCGCCATGAACGCAGACGGCACACGGTAAGCGGCGACAAAGCGATGGTGGACCCGTGTTTGTTGTGACGATATGGCGTGTTGCTTTCTTGGCCAGTCGCGACAGCCCTGCACAACTGCTTCCAGTCAGTCAGTCACAACCTCAACACACACACACACATGCACACATGCACACATAAACACACTCATGTGTACTCGTGTGCATGACGTCGCGGGTGCAGGTACGCTGCTGTCTCTGGACAGATGAACGAAGTGAATGTCTTTGACATCTCTGGCGATGAAATCAAGCCGCTCATCTGCCTCTTCTCTGAGATTTACCTCTCGGTACGCGTGTGCACACATGCACACATGCCCACATGCACACATGTACACATGTACACATGAACACATGTCCACGCATACATGTACACACGCACATGCACACAATTGTTGTAGGGTTTGTTCCATCTCGTTTGATGTTCAGTTTGTGCGGTTTAGATGCCATTCGTACATTCTCACCCATTTCATTTCCACGTGTGTATCTGTGTGAATGTTTATGTGTATGTGTGTCTGTGAATTTTTTTTTTCTCTGTGTATAGGGTCTCGCTTACGTCGGGGACAACCTTATTCTGACGGGCACGGCCGCCAACCTCTTTGGCTTCTTCTGCCTCAAGCCCACCGCCCACAAGGGCAACTGCGAACCACGTTGGCTCACAGGTGTGCGCATGTGTGTGTGTGCGTGCGCGCATGTGTGTTTGCATGTTGGTGGTTTTGTGAACGTACAGCTTTGCATCGGAAGGCGCTGCCAACACATTCCCGCCATCTTTGTCCTCGACATCGTTGTTGAGGATGATGTGCGTGCGCCGATCCTCTGCCTCCCTCAACTCACCACCACCACCACCACCGTGTGTGTTGCAACGCTGTACTACCAGTGAAACGCGATGATGAGAAGAAATACGTGCGTGCAGTTTTGTTTCGGGCACGAAGAAATGACTAAGCTCGCAACACACATGTGATTTGCCCCCTTTTGCAGAAATGACTAAGCTCGCAACACACATGTGATTTGCCCCCTTTTGCATTGCTCTTACACACACACACACACACACACACACACACACACACACACACACACACACACACACACACACACACACACGCACACACACACACAGGAGGAGTTTGGCAAGGCGCTCATGGAGAAGGACTTTGACACTGTCAAGGAGCTGCTCACCCCAGACATCGACATCAACCTGCCATCCCCGGTGCGTCGTGATTGCTGTTTGCTGCTTGCCTGCTTCTTTGTATCTTACTTGCCAATGTGTTTGGTTGTTGCGCGGGTGGGCGTGGTATCACGCTACACGTCTCTCTCTCTCTCTCGCACCTTCCATTTCAGTCATCTCATGGCGTTGAGCTTATGCATGTGCGTTGTCTGCATTTTCGGCCATTTGTCTCTGGATCTGTCCCGGCACTCTCCTTTCTCTTCCCTCCCGCCCCCTCCCCTTTGGTTCAGGACTTTGGCATGACGATGATGCACACCGCCGCCTGCCGCAAGAAGGACGACGTTGAGGATGTGATCAAGCTGCTCATCGACGCTGGCGGCGACCTCTCGGTCAAGAGCTTCACGGTGAGCACACCTTGTTGTTGCGATCGTCTGCACGTCTGCTGCTGTTGTTGGTCGGCTGTTGTTGCTGGGTGTCGGAGCAGCTGGTTGTGCCAATGTGAATCTGTAACCTGGGTTCCTCTCCTGCCGGGCGCCCGTTGCACATCGCACATGTGTGCGTGTCCGCTTGTGCTGTTGTTCACGTCATTGTGCCCCTCAATGTCCACTCATCACTCATCACGCCACGTGACACGGCATGCCACAATACAGGGCCAGACACCGTTTGCCATGTCCATCAGCGTGAATCCAAAAGCAACTGAGGCCATGCTCAAGGTGAGCGCAGTGCACACTCTCCTGCGACAGTTTCACGGTTTGAGCCAGAATGAAGCTTGTCGCTGCTTCTCTGGTTACACACACAACCTGCGTCACACACACACACACAGCCTGCGTCACACACACACACACACACACACACACACATACACACACACACTCTCTCTCCCTCGCCTCTTGTTTACCTAACACATGCTCCCCCACCCGCTCTGTGCGACGTTTGTTGTGTAGTATGACGTGGAAGTGAACGCGGTGGACAACATGGGGATGACGCCCCTCATCACCGCCATCAGCATGCGCAAACCCGAGCTCGTCAAGCTTCTCCTCAAGAACGGCGCCGACCCGTCTGTCAAGAACTCCACCGTGCGTCACCCTGGCAGTACACTGCTTGCGTGCTGCGTGTTGTGCGTGCGTTTGTGTGTGGTTGTGTGGTTGCGTGTTGTGCGTTTATGTGGTTGTGTGGTTGTCGTGTGCATGTTCGCTTACCCTGTGGGTTGCGTGAACAGGCTGCTTATTTTCCAGTCACGCTCACATGCACGTGCACTCCTGTTTGCTGTTTCTGTGCCAGGGCCAAACGACTGTCGCCCTTGCGGTCAACCTTGACGAAGACATTGCAAGAATGCTGATGAAGGTATGATAGAGTTGCGTGTTGCGTGTTGCGTGTTGCGTGTTGTTGTTGCACGCGTGTCGAACGTGTGCGTTGGTGTGTATTCGTGTTGGCTTGCTCCCATCCATTACTTTCCCCGCATGTTCCTCCTCCTGCTCCTTGCGTGCTTGCTTTGCCATTCCTGGCAATCACTCACACACGTTTTCTTGCATCAACCCGTCTGCGCGTCTCTTACCCCTGCGCGTCTCTTACCCCCCCCCCCCCCCCCCCCTCTCTCATTTGGATTCTCAGACGGGCAAGGTGGACCTGAACCACATTGACAACTCGGGGATGTTTGTGCTGTATACGGCGGTGTCGATGCAGAAGTACGATCTTGCCATCGACCTCATCAACGCTGGCGCCGACCCGAAGCTCCAGTCAAAGGTGCGCACGTGTTGGTGTGGTGTGCTATGTGCTGTTGATGTGTGTGTGGGTGTGACGTATGGATGCCTCCACGTGTGGCGTGTGGCATGTGGCGTGTGGCGTGTGGTGCGTGGTGTGTGCTGTTGATGGTGTGCTGCGTGCAGTGCGTGTTCCTCGTCTGGCCCAACCACCATCGTCCTCACCAACAACATCATTACACAAACCCGCGCCAGATCACGCCCATCTCGCTGTACGAGACGCTGGGCATGGCCGCCTCTGGTGCGCAGGGCGCGCAGCTGGAGTCGCTCAAGAAGCTGCAGAAGCTCATGAAGGTGCGCGTGCACTGCCTTGTGACCATGGTTGTTGCGTTGCGTGTTGTACGGTGTTTGTTTGTTTGTTTGTTGTTGCGGGGTTTCTATTCATCACTTGTCCTGCCTTCGCCCCCTGCCCCTTATTCCTCACGCACACCACCCCTCACCGCCCACACCCCACGTGGTTGCTGCTGCTGCTGCTGATGCGTTGCTGCTCAACAGAGCAAGGGCTGCACCGTCTCTGACACGTACAAGACGTGCGTCCCCGACTGGTTCTGAAGCGTGTCAAACGCGTTTTCCAAGAAGAGAAACAAGTGGCTGGAGGACAACAACAAACAACGCTCCTTCCTGCCTTCCACTTCTCCTTCTTCTTCTTGTTCTTCTTGTGCACCGCCCTCTCACCTGCCTCTCCTCTCCTTGCTTGTTTGCTTGACTTGTTGTCGTTGTTGTTGTGGTTGTGAGCGAAACATCATGCTCGCGGCTGTTGGCAGCGCAGCTGTGCTCTGCGTCTGCTTGTTACTGGGCCATGTTGTCCGCGCTCGCCTCTGGTGGCTCAGGTTGTTGCCTGCCTGCCTGCCTGCTTGCCTACTGTTGTGCTGTTGTGCTTGTTGTTTCTGTGATGGTACTGGTTGGCGTGGTGATGATGGCTGTGCGCTGTCACACTGTGTGCTGTCCCGTGCCACGCTGTTCCTTGCTTCTGTTGCTGATGATGATGACCATAAACGCTGGCACCGCCAACGCCTGCTGTGCGCGCGTACTCTTGTGTTGTGTTCACAAAGATGCATATGTGATGCGTGTGTGTGCGCCCCCTCACACAAAGCATCAACTGCGCGTACGTGCGTCAAACGCTGCCGTTCTGTCAACGATCGTGTCATGTTGCTCTCACTGCAGGGCCGTGTACATACCGGCGTCGCTCATTGGCGGGCTCATTGGCCTCATCTTGCTGCAGATAAGCACAGCAGACGACAAGCTACACAACTTTGTCAACAGCGGTCAGCAACATCGCGTGTATGAGAGAGAGAGCGTGTGTGCGTGTGTGGATGAGAGAGTTTGTGAGAGCTTGTGCGTGTGTATCAGTGCGTGCATGTATGTGTGTGTGTGTGAGCTTGCGCACGCTTGTGTGTGTTTGTGCGAGTGCATCATCCAGCTTGCATGCGCGGGCGCTCACACTGCTCACCTTCTGCTGTGAGCAGAGTTGGCTGCTGGCTGGGATGAGCTGCCGAGCTTGCTGATCAACATTGTGTTCGGATGCCTGTTCCTGGGCGAGCGCGTACCGCCCATCTCCAAGATCTGGCGTGTGTCTGGGCCCCAGCTCCTCTACGGCCAGGTGCGGTGTGGCGCAAGTGATGTTGTCTTGGCGAGGCACTTGCATCCCTGAAGCCTTGAAGCTTGCTTGACATAATGAGGCTGCAGCGATGTCACCACCACTGATGCACTCATTGGTCCTGTTCCTCATGCTATGGATGCAGGTGCTGGCGTGGGGTCAATATGCGCTTCCAGCCATTGTCACGGGTGCCATTCTTGTTCCACTCCTCAACACCAACAAGGTGTGCGTGTGTATGTGTGTATGTGTGTGTGCGTGTGTATGTGTGTATGTGTGTGTGTATGTGTGTGTGTGTGTGAGGATGCATGTGAGGATGTGTGTGTATGTGTGTGTGTGTGAGGATGCATGTGAGGATGTGTGTGTATGTGTGTGAGTGTGTGAGGATGTATGTGAGCGTGTGTGCATGCCCTGCTTAGGCTCTTCTCTCTACGTGCGCGCGCGTGTCACCTCTCATGCTTTCTGTGCCCTTTGTGGTCACATCATCCAGCTGATTGCGCCTGTGGTGGCGCTTGGGTTTGAGGGCGGCCACGGCACCGCTGCCGGCATCAAAGACACCTTTGCCGAGCTTGGTTCGTGTTACGAGTGCTGCTTCCTCTGTCTCGTGCTCAGTGCTGCCTCCATGCACTTCCAATGTATATGTGTGTGTGTCGTGTGGAGGGTAGCTTGATCAACACACACACACACACACACACACACACACACACACACACACACACACACACACACACACACACACACACACACACACACACACACACACACACACACACACACACACACACACACACACACACCCAACACAGGGTACACGGAGGGCGGGGACCTGGCGCTGTTTGCTGCCACCATCGGCCTCGTGTCTGGCGTTCTGTTCGGAACGGTGCTCATCAATTGGGCCGTCAGGAAGAACCTCGTCTCATCCGTCGACACAAGCACTGGTGTGGCACAATGGCACAGCGGAGGCTTGGGAGTTGGCTGTGGTGCGCTGCAGCTGTTCATGCGTTGTGAGCTGTACACATGTATGCCATGAGTGCTCGTGTTCCGCTGGTAATGTGTTGCGCCTTCCACCTTACGTGTACCCACCTCCCCCACCACATCCACCATGTATCGACTCTCTCTGTCTCCTTAGACCACCGCGAGTTTACTGGCGTGTATTCGCCTGCCCGCCGCCCCATTGCCGGGCAGCAGACCGTCGCTGTTGAGGCCCTCGACTCTCTCGCATATCACGTGGTCTGCCATCTCGTGCCACTGTATTGCTTTGTGTATCCGTGTGTATTCGTGTGTGTTGTGCTTGTGTGTGTTGTGCTTGTGTGTGTTGTGCTTGGGTGGCTGCGTGGTGTTGTCGTCTGTCTCTTTAGCGTTGTGAGACACGCACACACACACATGCTCACAATCGCACACACACGCACACACACACGCGCGCACACACACGCACACATGCTCACAATCACGCACACACACATATTGACTCTGCTCCCATCATTGCCACCCCAAGAGCATTGTTGGCTTGACATTGGCCTCTGGATACGCCTTCAAACGCTGCTTGCTGCTCGTTGAAGGTCGGGAAGTCATGTGCAAATACTGACGTGTGCCTTGAACGTGTGCTTTGGTGAATCAGCTCGTTTGATTACACCTCACTCCAATCCCCCGTACGTCTTGCTCTGTTCCTTGTGTGCGTGTGCGTGTGCGTGTGCGTGTGCGCGTGCGCGTGCGTGTGCGTGCACACAGACCAGTCTGCTTGGTTGACAGAGTATCACTTCTTTTCGGCCTTTCCCACGTTCCCATTCTGCATGCTCGGTGGAATCCTGGTGCGTACAGTGTGTCCGTGTGCTTGAAACACGACATGGTGTTGTGCGATGTGTGTGTGTGTGTGTGTTTGCACGTCTGTTTGTTGCAATGTGCAGTTGATCACAATTGTTCGCGCATCCCACGTCATCACCATCTGGGTTGCATCCACGCGCCTTCTGTTCACACATCGCCGATTCTCGTCGTCTCTGTCCCTCAACCACGACAGGTGCAGCTCTTCACGGACGCGTTTGCAAATCCGTCGCCCATTGATCGAGACACAATCGAGCGCATATCTGGCCTGGCTCTCGATTTCACCATTGTCTCAGCCATTGCTGTGCGTCCGAGGGAGCGGGGACACTGAAGTGTTGCATTTGCACACACACACACATACACACACACACCCTTTGCAAACGACGCTATTCGTTGCTGATTCCCTCGCCATCGTGGTGCGTTGCATTGGCCATGCAGACGATGAGTTTCACGGGCCTTGAGGACTCTCTTCTTCCGTTCTTCATCCTCGTCGGCGTCACGTGGATCTGGCACCTCCTCTGCTTTCGATTCCTCGCCCCAATGTTCGTGCGTGCAGGGATGTGTCTGCTTTCTCAAACTCTCTCTTCCCATGGCTGCGCGCGCACACACACACACACACACACACACACACACACACACACACACACACACACACACACACACACACAGAGCAACACACACCAACCACACACACACACACACACATTAAACAGCATACACACAGCATACACGCACGAAACACAACACGAACACACGTCTCCTGATCTCCATCCCCCAACCTCATCTTCTCCCTGTTTTCGTGTGCCAGCTTGCTGCCGGACTATTGGGTACAGCGTTCGTTGGCAGAGTTGGGCCAGTCCATGGGTGTCACCAGCACGGGCCTCCTCCTCCTCCGCATGACAGATCCTGAGAACCAGACACCGGCACTCGCTGCGTTCTCCTACAAGCAGGTGGGTTGCTTTTCATCGCCATTTAAGCTGGAGCACGTGGCTGGGATGCCTTGACAATGGATTGCATGTGTATTTACCCTGCTGCTGTGACCACGCTTCTTTTTCTTCAGCAATACACGTGTCACCTCTCATCCCAATGCTTCATGATCACGTTCACCACCACCACCACCACCACCACCACCGCCACAATCATCGCTGTCAGCTGCTGCACGAGCCCATTGTTGGCGGCGGGCTGTGGACGGCCTCTGTTCTCCCGTTCTTGAAGTCGTCTGGAATCTGGCCAGGTCGTGTCCAAAGGGGATGGAAAAAGAGAGGCAGGGAGCGTGCTTTGGCGTTGACTGCATGTGTGTGTGTGTGAGTGAGTGAGTGTGTGTGTGTGTGTGTGTGGTGTGCATGCGCAGTGTGTGTATGTCTGTTTGCCGTTTCGTGCAACCTACAGGCTTGTGCTGACATTTTTCTCGGACCATCATCTCCTTAATGATGCTTCCTACAGTTGTGGGTGTTTCGTGCAGTGCGGTGGTGCTGTGGTTGCTCGTGTACCTGTTTTACTTTCGACAAAGATACGCCAGGTGGGCAGCTCTGCATCAACACAACACATTGTTCCGTGTAACACGCATCTTTTTGAATACCTGTTCCACAACGTTTACACCGACTTACCCTTCCCGCCACATTGTCGCACACCATAATCATGTACGCAACATGTGCGCACGCGAGGCATACTCACGCAACACACTCACGCTTCATGCTCTTGTCCATATTTCGTGCATTGCTTCTGGCTATATTCCAATGCGTTTGCTTGCAGGAAACGCCAGGAAGAAGACGATGGTGGTGATGGGGAGAGCGTGTCGTTGCTTGCAAGCAACGATGCGGGTAGTGAGGACAGCGCCACGTCTTCATCACAATCACCAGCGCGTCAGGCGTCCACTACCTCCTTTGGCACGCTGCCCCGTGCTGATTCATGCGCATAGCCTCTGGATGTTCTCCGAGGGTCGTGTGCAAATGATTCAATGTGGCACTGCCTGCAAGTAAGCTGTTGGTTTGAAGAGTTGCGAGGTGTTATGAGCAGAGAGCAGTGTTCAAGGTGTTTTGAGGGCGTTAGCATTAGGTACATTACACGAGTTCTGGTGTTGGTGTTAGAGTTGTTTGGTTTTACTTCTACTTGATGGTAAATAATGGAGTGCGACGGAGAATAGACACAAGAAGTCAAGGCAAGCAAGAACAATTCACCCAAAGCACAAGCGTGCTGGGCGAGAGTGCACATAACCAGAGACGCATCAAAGATGCCTTCCTACCCACAGACAGACAGACAGACACACACGCACACACAGCCTCGCTACGGGCGCCTGCTGCCTGCGGAGAGCGGGGAAGAAGTGACGGCGCCACTGTCGAGTGCGTTTGCCGTCTGCAGCAAACTCTGCAGCGAGCCCCTCAAGTTGGCAATCTCCTCATCAATGAGCGACAGCTCAGATTGCGACTCCAACAGCGCCGCCTGTGCGCCCTTCGTTGCGTACAGCTGCAAGCGCTTACTCGAAGTCGTCGTGGCTCCCGTCGAACTGACTGTGTCGTCGCCATCATCACCATCATCACCATCATCACCATCCACCTCCTCTTCCTCATCCCCGTGTCTGTCACCGTGTGCTGTGAGGTCTCTACGCTTCAGGCCGCGCCCCGTCATGCCCTGCTTCGACTTGGCCCGGCCATCGTTGAGCGAATCATTGCCAACGTCTCTGCTGCGCGAGCTTGCGGTGCTGCTTCCTTGCGTTTTAGCTGCACGCGCAACGCCACTGCCACGCCAGCGATTCTTGATGCGTTGCGCGACAGGGGTGTGGCGGTCATGATCATGATCACGGTCACCATCACCACCGCCGCTGTTGCCACGGCCGTTGTCGGTGTCTTCATCGTCGTTTTGGAGCTCACCCTCTTCCTCGTCTGTGCTGTCTCCGCGCCGATCACGGTGTCGGTACGCGGGGGTTGCTGTCGTTTCTGTGTCGCTGGCCGTGTTGCTTGGGTTGCTGCTGTCAACGCGCCACTGCTGCCGCCACGGGAATGCATCGAAATCAATACCGAGCGAATCTGCGAGCGCCATGCTTGCAAGCATCTGCCCCTTGGTATCGCCACGCCCACCGCCTCGCCCGCGCTCGCTCTCGTCAGATTCACTGAGCTCTTCATCTGCCTCCTGTGTCGTCTCTCTCTTGTTGCCGTTGCTGCTGCGTGTTGGTGGCTGCTTCATGTCCACACGAGCAGCTGCTGTGCCTCTCCCAACACTTTCATCGTCGCCAGATGTTGCCTGGTCACCTCTGCTGCTCATGCGCGTGTGTCTGTGTGCGTTCAGCGCCATTTTCGCCCGCTCGATGCGGCGGTGAATATCTCCGGAGCCGCTCATGTCATCATCATCACCACCACCACCACCATCACCATCACCATCGCGAGCAGGTGCAACACCCGCACGGCTCAATCGCTGTGCCCGCCTCCCGTCACCATCACCGTCATCATCACCACCATCGTCATCGTGACGATGATGACGGCCATTGCGACCCCCACTGGACGGTCGCTGGCGTGGCCACACCGCTCGCTTCGCTCTCTCCCGCGCAAGTTCCGCACGCAGGTCTAATGGTGGTGGTTGTGGTGGCGAGGAGGAGGAGGGGCCCATGTGAATGTGAGTGCATGTGCCTTTGTGAATGTGTGACGTGACAACATGTCGACGAAAGTGTGTTTCTGTTTGTGTTGGACATGTGTGCACGTGTGCGTGCATGTATTTGAATCGGGAAGCATGCTTGCGCGACAGATAGCTCACCTTGCTTCTCTCTTCGCAGGGCGTGCACGACGCGATCAAGATCTTCCAACAGCTTGAAGTGTTTCCTGCAATACAGGCACACAATCACATGACGTGAAATTGGCAGTGCCTACAAACTGACACACATAGCAGGACGCACATTCACACACACACACACACACACACACACACGAATGCAGACACAGATACAGACACGCGCGAATACAAGCGAGAATGCATCACAGAGCGCAGCATGCGCATACTGACGCGACGCTGTGCGAAAGGGATTCAATCTCAGCATCGCGCTGGGTGATGGTCAGCTCGTGCAATCGAATGGTCTCTTTGGCTGCATGGGAGGGAGCGTGTTGACGCGAGGGTGCGCGTGTGAGCAGGGAGGGTGGGGAGGGGGTAGCAAAACGACCTGGACTGTGCTAGAGGGCTACTGTCTGCTGCGTGTGGTGATGTGAATTCCAACCAGCATCATACACAGCCATTATCGTACGTTCATCAGCATGCACAACAGGGCCTCACCTGTGCTGAGTGCAAGCTCGTGCTGCTGCAGTTTTGCGCTGAGGTCGTCGCGCTCTGCTCAGCAATGCAACCGTTGACGAAGCGTGCGTGGTGGTGTCGGTGTTGGTGTGAGCGTTGTTGGGCGAAAACGGTAATGAGAACCGCATCTCAGCACAGTTCACCCACACATTGAAAAAAAAAAAAAGGCTGGCGCATGTTCACG